TTCATTTCTGCTTTATTTTGACTCACATCCCGCTTTTCAAGGCTCAGAGCTGTTTGTAAAGACTTTCCTCCAGGCTGCCCTTTCTTCTGGCTCCCTGGCTCCCCGAAGTTACCTCCTCCCTTCGTGTTTCATCTCCCTCCTGCTGCTGCAGCCTCTCACCTGCCTAGGGGGCTGCTTCTGGCTGGAGCCACGGATTCAGGGGGCTCCGAGGGGAGCCCTGGGGTCACAGGGTCCTACCAGGTAAGGATTGCAAAAGTGGGAAGTGCCAACTGCCTCTGTCTGTGGCTCTAAATATTTGCAGCCCAGACACAGCCCAGCTTCCTCCCAGTTCCCGAGTGGAGGTTACTCCCAATCTGTAAAAGAAGGGTGCCCCTTCCATCTTGCACCTTCTTAAGGTTTCCAGGGCTCTCTGAGTAGCTTCCGAAGCTCCTTCGTGCTGACACCCCAGGAAAATGCTTACTGCTTTGAGCCCCAGGAAAACACTTGATGTTTTGAGCCTGGACAAACTCGAATCAGACAGCCAGTCAATCCTGAACTCCCACCCTGGGAGAAGAGAGCAGAGGCTCACAGTCTCAAAACCCGGATAGTCTCAAAGGAATAGCTTTAATCTTGAACATCTCCTACCCCAGACCTTCTCAGACTAGAAGGGGCTGCTGCAGCTTAAATCCCCAGACAACCTTCCTCCTCCAGGGCCAGGCTGCTGAGAAAAGGGAGCAGGGGGTCCAAGAAGACTCTCCTCCTCCAGCTGGCACAAGCCAGCCCCCCGTAGGAGACAACTGTTCCGCTGAGACCTACTCTGGAGCGGTTCCTGGGCTGGGTGCTTTACCTGTATTACCTTGTTAGTTCTGACAACGTCCTCGTGAGGCTGGCAGTGGCAAACCTGTTTTACAGATATAAGTATTGAAGATCAGAGAATTTAAGAGCTTTGAGCTCAGAGTTCAAAGATGGAGCATAATTGATTGGCGTGGGTGGAGACGGGATCCGGGCAGCCAGGAGATGGGCCCATGCTGGGTCTGGCTCCACCGGCCCACGGCAGGGCAGTGAAGAGAGAGGACCACACTGGGATCTGGGAGGCCTGGTTCAAGCCCACTTTTAAGGAAACTGAAGGTTTGTGGATTTTGCCATGAAGGCAAATTTTCTTAAACTCTCTGAGCCTCAATTTTCTCACCTGTAAGATAGGATCAGTGAGGAGATGCCTATAAAAGTATTTAGTCCAGTGCCTGGCACCAGAAGAGTTGGGACCCAGTGAATTTGGCTCCCTGTCTCACCTGGCCAGGTATTCCATAGGGAAGGGCCCCTGGGATGGCCCCTCCAGCCAGCCTTGCCTCTCTCAGAGGGCGTTTCCAAGGGCAGCTCTGTGTCCCACAGTCAGAGAGGGGCCCAGGGCCCAGCCCTAGGCAAATGCCGTGGCTTCTGCAGTTGCTTCAACAACTCTGCTATTCCAGGCAGGGCCTAGACTGAACTTTTCTCGTAAATATTGACGGAGGCCCCAGACAGCGAGGAGTGAGAAAACAAAGGATGTTTTATTTGTGATAGAAAAAGAAATCAACAGAAATAAAAAATCTACAGGCCCAACAGGAGGGGGGAACGATTAAATAAACCTTGGTACACTCACTCGATGGAATATTGTGCAACAATTGAAATGCTGTTTACCGAGGGTTTGTAATAACATGGGGAAATGCTTATTATAAAACGCTAAGTTAAAAAAAAAAAAAAGGAAGCAACTGAATGGCATATTTAGCATAATCACACCTAGGCAAAAATCAAGCCAAACAAAAACTCTGTGCAGAAGAAAAAGACCAGAGGGGCTTGCACCACAGTAGGGGACGTCTTCGGTCGGCAGAGTTGGGGAGTTTTTTTAAATACTTTTCTCTATTTTTCATTTTCTTTCTATAACGGCCATGGTTGGTTTAAAGTGGAAAGCAACCTAAATTTAATTTTTTTTTTCCTAAAGAAGAAAGAATTCTTATTGGAAAAGCAGCACAGATGACCTGCAGGAAGACAAGTGACACTGGGGCCACTCCGAGGTGAAGGGCAGGAGGTCAGCAGACCCCAGGCTACTAGACAAGGTCGAGGGGAAGTCCCAGACTCTGTCCTCACAAAGTGATACCAGCAGGCTGATACCCGGCCGCACGCCTGGGTGTGGCATCTGCAACATCCCCGTAAGGATGTTGGCTGTCACCCCTGCGTGTGCAAACTCTCCTTCTCTCCTGGGGACTGTAGCTGGTTTCTGTCTGAGGAATCTCTTTCATAACGTTGGTTTCATTTGGTTCGTTCCCTTACAACAAAGGCTAAACCAGAATAGCCGGCCCTGCCTTTCTCCCTACACCACGACCGAGCTCCCTGCAGGCAGCCCTGCCCTTCCCGGCATGCGTGGCCAAGCCCTTCTGGCACAGGGCAGCTGTCCCACCCTCTGAGCCAGTCCTGGGCTGTGCACCCCCCAGGTTTGCATTCGGGCCCCTGGTCAAATGGCATCTCATTGATCAGGAGGCCTGATCACATGATTTAAAAAAGCAACCCTCTCCCTCTGGCGTTCGTGATCCCACTGGCTCCTTAGTGCATACGCGGCGCAGGCTCTATTTATTTTATTACGTGTTTATTTTTTAAAATTGCCCATTTTCCTCCACTAGAATGTGAGCTCCGGTAGGGCAGGAGTCTGCTGCATCTCCAGCACCTAGAACAACGCCAGGCCCGAGCATTCTGCAGACGCTTATTTCACAGGTGAAGGGATGAACCCTGACCACTCAGCCCTCAGGGGGTCTTTTCAGGCCCTTGAACTACCTGGATCCACGTGATGGCCCCAACTGCTTCCATCCTGCAGCCCAGCTCCGGAGACGCAGGATGGTGAGGATAAGCACACCAGCTCTAACCTGCTGGCAGTGACTGCCTGCAACATGGCGTTCAAACAGTTAGGAGGCCACAGTAAGGTTCCCACCAGGACAAGGTGGGGTGATTGGTGAGTGGTGTTGTCGGCAGGGCTACGAGCGAGGTAGATTAGGTGCACCGTGTACTTCTCCTCACACCCAATCCTGTCTCAGCTCTGCCTCTTGTGAAGACCACGCTCACCATCAACGGGGGTCCCTGGAATCATTTCCCTAGTCCCTACCACAGGTATGTGCTGGGCTTTGGAATGTTTTTCCAGAGTGGTCCCTGTCTCTCCTGGGCTGGGAACCTTTCCTGCACTTTACCCAGCTTGGTTGTCTCATCTTCTGCCTGGCTCCTCACCGGACGCCGGCCCGTGGGGGCTGGGTCTGGCTTCACCTGCCTCCAGCTCCCAGATGGGGGTCTCCTCCCAAGCAAACCCTTCCCCCAGCCTGGCATGACAATGCCAATGCCTCCGGAGTCCTGTCACTGAAACCATCCTCCCCACCCCATGGATCCCTTGGAGGTCCGTGCCTGATTGTTGACACTGTACTTGAATGTGGCCTTGGCTGGGGATGGGGGAGGGGGCACTCTTTCCAGGGGCCAGCCATGGTCCCAGCTGACTTTCCCTTCACAGTCTCCAATTTAGGGCTAAATTTAGCTGCCTCATCCTCCCAGGCCATGGTGGCCTTGTGTGGTCCAGTACGAGCTGTCCTCTCATTTCCATGACAACCCGCTTCTCATCCTTTGTTCTGATCCTGCTTCTTCCAACAAGACCCGCAGCCCAAGCCTGGCAGCTGCAGTGGACACATGCTCTAGCTGGCCCTGCCTGGAACTCTGGAAGAACTTTCTTTGCGGGTTCTCATTTATCCCCAAGGCAGGCAGGGACACGAATTGTTCTTCCCATTTTCAAGATAGTAACACTGAGGTCCAAAGCATCCTTATCTTCTCCCTTGTCAGGCCCTGCCCTGGGGTACCTCCTATCTCCCTTGGCTTCTAGCTGGGGCCAAGAGCATCACTGCTTTCCTGTCTGTATCTGTGTCTCCCGCAAGGATGGAACAAGGGCTATGGTGACAGAGTAGGCCATCTCTCTCCCTTCCCTCCAGAAAGAACAGGTCCCTTCCTGAGGTTGCGGGTCTCCTTAATTTCAGAGTTTACCAAACCTGCTGTGTAAGGAGATCTGGTCTCTGGATGTGCCACTGGAATCTTCTAGTTCCTCAGCTTTGTCATGGACCTGCCCCTCCCTGGTCCTCTCCTGTCTGATGAGGCAAACCAGGTGACACATGGCACAGGGAGGGCAAACCCTGCTGTTATCTCTCACCAGCCCTGGAGACTGGTAGTGGCTGCCCCTGCTTCCAGGCAGGAGCGCTGGGATGCTGGGAAGGATTCTGAGACCCGAGGAAGGGGCGCAGTGGTCAGTTAGCAACGACGTGAGCAGGGCTGAGGAGGAGGGTGACCCTTGGATCAGAGCCTTTCCTCCGTTTCCTGAGAGCTCGATGGTATCCTTAGCCCTCTACAAGAAGTTGGCCTCTTAGATGTTTCTCCTCCTTCCCGTGATGGGAAAAGTAAATGGGCTTGGGTACATTTACTCTGCTGCCCAGAGTCCCCGTGGGCAGCCCCAGCTTTAGCTGTCCTACTTCTCAAGTCACATCTCCCCCTGGCAGGGCTCCTCCCTCAGTCTTGCTCACCTGTGTGTCCCTGGTGCTTCCGGGAACTGTAGAGGTGGGGCCCAGTGGCTTAGTGTTCATGAAGGGACACTGGTAGCACAGAGGGCTGGCCTCTCTCCAGAGGGACCAGGTTGAGGGTCTGCCAGCACTTGGAACTGTGCTTGCAGTAAGACCGTGCTTCTGAGCTACGGTGGGGTCCTGGTCACTCCCCCCAGGAATTTGGAGTTGGAGCCACGTGGTGGTCCTCTCTTCTGCCTTGGAACACCAGTCCCTGGCTCTCTCCTCCCCAGGGGGCCCCAGCAGCCCATGTAGGGACAAGACTCATCTAAGACCCACCTCCCAAGGCTCCACTTACCCAGCAGAGCAGGTAGGATTAGAATCTGCCTCTTGATGGCCAAAGTCCTGGGCCACCTGACTGCCCAGAACTGACCCACAGAGTGACAGGCAGGGTGGTGCTCATTGCCTCCCCGTTTTGCACGAGGAGCCCAGCAGAGGGGCAGCTAGACCCTGGTGTGAGGCAAATCAGGGGTGGGCAAGGTCAGGACGGCAGGCAGGAGGGTGCCCTGCGGCGTCGGGAAGCTCCGCAGCGCCTTGGGTACAAACCTGGGCGAGACGTAGTCGGCCAGGAAGCAGAGAGTGCGCTGGCGCCCCACGCAGTAGATGAGGTTGTCCACCACGGCGCACTGGAAGGCGTCCGGGTAGGGCGTCCGGTACGTGGCGCACTCGTACCAGAGCCGGGCGCTGGCGCTGCAGCGGTGCACACTGATGCCCAGGCTGCGGTTGAGGTCAAAGCGGTAGAGGAAACCGTTGACTGCCACCATCTCGGCCGTGCGGTCCTTGCTGCCCCCCGTGGGGCCGGCCCACCAGCGCTGCTCCTGGGCGGAGAAGCGGAGCAGCAGGTAGCGCAGCGTGCCGCCCGTGACGAAGATCTCGTTGGCGCACGCCGTGGCTGTGTGCGCCACGGCAAACGTGTCATTGGGGAGAGGCGGGGCAAAGACCCAGCGGTCCAAGCGAGGGTCGTAACGCTCAACCGTGTTCAGACACTCGCCCCCGATGGCGTACAGGTGCCCGTCCAGGGCCACCAGCCGGCAGTGCGGCCGCGCCTGGTTCAGCGGGCACACCTCGCTCCAGATCCCCGTCAGGGGGTTGTAGCAGAAGACCCGGTTGGAGGGCCGGCGCCCGGGCCCCTGGCAGCCAGACACCACGAAGAGATAATTGAAGAGACTGCAGATGGCACAGCCCCGGGACACAGCCTCAGGGGGCAGCTGGGCCAGCAGGTGCCAGACATCCCTCTCGTCATCATAGCAACAGAGGCAGCCGGAGTCTTCCTGGGGGCACACGTCCGCCACCAACAGGTACTTGCGGCCCCGGAGGCGTCGCTGCAGGATCAACTCCCGTTCTGCCCCGCTCAGGCACCCGTAGACATCCGGGCTGCGCAGCACCTGGAGGTAGTTGTCGCTCATCACCTTGTAGGCTGCCTCCTTCAGGGCCTCCAAGTTCTGCCTCTTGGCCAAGGTCAGCGCCTCGTGGCAATTGCCCAGATCCAGGCGGACGTCCGGGTCTGAAGCGGGGGTGAGGGGGACGTGGAAGAAATTGGTCCCGGCCACGAGCTGCACGCGAGGCTCCCCACTGCTTCTGGCTGTGCCAGGCAGGGCGCCCCGGTCTGGGCAGGGTGAAGGGGGAAAGCCGAGGCCCTCGGGCTGTAGCTGCAGCTCTGGGTTCTCCGCGATCTGCAGGAGGCTGTCCTTCCTGCCGAAGCCTTGCGGGGAGGGGGACGACAAAGGCCGGGGGGCGGCGGCTGTTTCAGCTCCACCTTCTGTGTCTTCGGCTTGGCCCCGGGAGGCTGCTCCTGTTCCCAGGGGCCTGGGCAGTGCTTCAAGGCAGGGAGCCTCTGCCAGGGCTGTCCTGAGGGCCAGCCTGCCCCTGGAGACGGTCCGAGAGATGGATTCCACATAGTAGTCGTACACCTTGCCCTTCAGCCTGGGCCCAGCCCCGTCCACCTTCTGTATGAAGTTCTCTTCCATCCGGACCCGAGCCACCGACGAGAAGGTGTAGGAGGTGTTGGTGGCTGCCTCCTGCTGATGCCGCGCCAGGCCCACATCTGAGGCGGCCTGGAGAGCCCCTGCCTCTTCCCTGCTGACCCCTGTCACGTGGGTGAAGACCCAGCTCCGGTTCATGTCACTGCTGCCTTCCTCCGGAGCAGTCCAAGGCCGGTGGGGAGGTTCCAGCTGCCCGGGCCCTGGCGGCCCGAGGGGTCCACCGTCCTGCCATGGAGCAGGCTCACCACCCACACGGCTGCCGCCCGCCGCTGCAGCAAGTCCAGCTGGGGAGCTTTTGGGTTCACTGTCCAAATGGGGGCAGCGCGGAGGGTTGGGCCTCCTGCCAACAGCTGTTCCGGCTTCCTGGCCGCGGCAGCAGGGAGGCACCTGCTCAGAGTCCGGGCACTGCCCGCCCTGCTCCTCACCACAGTCTTTTCTCTGGGGCTCGTCTCTGGAGGTGGCCCCCGTTGTCAGGGTGCAGGGGGCTCCCAGGTTCTCCCAGCTGCAGCCCAGGAGTGCTCCGGCCTCCTTGCTCACCCTCCGGCGGCGTCTCGGCCCCCTCTGTGGCGCCCTGGGAGAAGCCACCTGGGCAGCAGGCTGCCCCGAGCCCTCTGCTTCCTGCCCAGCTTCGGCCTCCACGTTCCCACCCCCCTGCGGGGCTGGCGTGGGCCTCGCCTTGTACAGTCTGTAGGCCGCGGTCAGCAGGAGCAGCGCAGCGGCCGACAGCACCAGCTTGCCGGTCAGCTGCATGTCCAGCTGCCAGTCCTGGGCCCCGGCTTCTCTGGGCAGCATGCTTCTCGTGCCTCTCCAGGCGACCTGGGGCTGAGGAATGTCGAGAATCCGATTAATGATTGATTGCCCAACTGGGCCGGTTCCTGGAGCCAGCCAAGCCGTTCTGGGCTGGCTCTGGCCAGCTGAGGAGTCGGAGCAAAGGTGACTTTGAGCTGCAGAGGGTGGCCGAGGGGCCCAGGGCCAACGGATCCCAGCCGCTGGCCTCCTGTGGGGATGAGGGTCTGCCCAGGGGCTCAGCTTGGGCCCAGCCACCTGAGCCAGCTCTGTAGCCAGCAGCCGGGGGATGTGGGAGGAGTGTCCAGTGGGTACACAGAGAGGGAGGAAGCTCCTAGCCAAACAGTCACCCGATGCCAGGAAGTGCACGGGGTTGGTTATTCTTTGTGTGTGCGCTTTATTTTCCTTTGCAAATCCACCGGGCGAGGAGGCTCGGGTGTGGCGCGTGCTGGGCAGGTGGAGCCCCGGTAGGCGTGGCTGGGATTGTGCCTATTGGGGTCTGTGGGTCCCCCAGCGGGGTCAGCATTTAACTGGTCAAGCGGGAAACACAGCAGGGGAGGCTGGAGCCAGGGACCACAGCCAAGCCACCTGACCTGTCCTCCTCTGCCTGACAAGTTTACGAAGAGAAACCGGCCTTTCCGAGAACAGTTTGGGAAAACACCTTGCGTTAGCACCCAGGTCGGGGTTGGACGTGGGACACATCTCCCTTAAAACCTGACCGTCTCCGATGGTGAGAGGCCGAGGGAAGACCCACGTGACCCAATCCCCCCCACGCCCCGGTGCATTGTCACCAGTGCTGTGGGTCCTGGATCCAGACTACGTGGCTCTGCCACTTACCAACCGTGTGAACTTAGGCAAGTGACTTCAGCTCTCTGTGCCTGTTTCCTCATCTGAAAGACGGGGGACAGTGGTATTTGCACCCCATCGGATTGTGGTGGGAACAAAATGGGTTACTGCGTGTGACGTGCTGTGCAGAGCCCCCGTTGTGCAAGCTTGGTGGACGTTAGCTATTCTCCCTCCTCGTCCTCCTCCTCCTCCTCCTCTTCCTCGCTAGTACTAATTATCAAGCTGGACCTTCCAAGGCACACACCTAATTCTGCCCCTCCCCTGACCAAGGGCCCTCCATGAGTCCCCAAAGGCCAGCGTAGGGGTCTCAAACTCTTGCTGCCCGTGGGGGCCGAGCAGGTAGAGTGAACAAGTGAAGACCCTCCCAGCCGAAGGTGCTGGCAGGTGGCCCAGCAAGGCCCGATCCTCCCCCCGTTGCAGAGAAGTTTGGGATCCAGGTAGCGATGGGGTCACTGTCGATTTCTAACTGCTGTCATCTAACTGAAAATGCACACGAAGAGCACTCGGCGGCCAGAGGGGAGACACGCACGGGAGGAATCTGGCTCTGAAGCCCTTGGCTCTGGGAGAGAGTCCTGACCCCTCACCTAGGCGTTCGCGGTCCTCTGCCACCAGCCTTGGTCCACCCTTCCGCGTCCATCTCCTGACCGCGGCCTGCCTGCTGGGCGCAGGCCGACTTCTAGGCAGGCAAGGTCTCCCTCGTCTGTCCTGGTCCGTGTCCCTCCAGCCCACCAGAGTTGGGTCCCAGGCCGTGTCTCCCAGGCCTTCTTCCCACACGTCTCCGCCTTCCGAGATCACCTGTTCCCTCTTTGTCTCTCGATCGCTGATGTTCCTCTTTCAGCCTTTGTCACAGCTGCCACGTCACAAAGTGCGTCGTGCACGGTCTCTGTTCTCCTGCTGGGTCCGAAACCCCTGAAGACAGAGACTGTCGCTGGTCCAACCGGGGACCCTAAGGCCTATGGAGACCCTGCAAAACCGGGACAACGGCCAGCATGGACCGTGCTTTACGCTGAGTGGACCGGGGAGGGCACTCCGGATGAATCTCATCTAATGCCACAGTCCCTTTGCAGAGAGATGTGTTTGTTATCCCCACTGGATGGCAGTGGTAACCGGACGGACCTCAAGGTTATGTCAACTTTCTTGTAAATGGGGACTTTAATCCTTGTTTGCAGACCAGAGTTTTATAGACCTGACTTCATCCAACAGGTGTGACTTCTCGTGCAGCCTGGTTTCCTCAGCCTGTCCCGCTGGGGGCTGGCAAGAGGGGACCCTGGGTTCCATTTCTTCCCACCATGGTCAAAAGAGTGACTGTCAATCCAGTGGGCACAGGAATCACCGGGGGTGTTGGTTAGGGGCGGATGTCTGAGCTCCATCCCTAGACGTCCTGATTCTGTAGGTCTGGAGTGGGTCCAAGGAAACCTCCATTTTTTACCATCACCTTAGGAGACTTCAGTGGGTCTAGGAGTGAAAAATAAGTTAGCTTTTCTACCTGCCTCCTGAAAATTCCTCTTCACCCTTGAGGAAGTAGGTGAGTAACAGAGAACGGGAATGCAGTCCTGGGCGCTTTGCATAAGTAAAATCATTCAATTTTCCCAGTAATCCAGAGAGGTGGATATTATCATTGCCCCCATTCTACAGGTGAGGAAACTGAGGCTCTGAGGGACAATGCCAACGGGCTGAGAGTGGCAAGTCTTGATTTACAACCTCTCTGGCTGCACAACCTGTCATTTTTCTCTGGGAAGGAGAAAACGAGGCATTACGGGTAATAAAAATGATTTGTCCAGCATTAAAAATGCTTTGTTGGGTCTCACGAGGGGGCCCCCAGTTGCCAGGCTACCATTCCAGCGGTAGGGGCAGCTTTGGGGATCCTATACTCTTGGAGAGAGGGAGACATGTGACATGCCCCCTCGGTGGGGTGTGATCTGGCATTGTCCTCTCAGGTGCCACCAGGTGAGCAGGGTCTCAGCCCTTCTGATAAAGGCTCTGTTGTGCCCCGGAGCCCCCTGTGGCTCCAGCTTAAATCCTATAAATCAGACAATAGGGCTTTCCTTCTGGAAAGCTCTGGGTGCTGGATGTGCCTGAAGCAGCCCGAGGGGTGGGGAGGTGAGAGGATCGCTGGAAGCAGAAGCTGCAGTCCCGACGCCAGGGAACTATGTCCCTCATCCAGAGATGGGCACATGCCTAGGAATGATCAAGCCACGATGCAGCACGAAGAAATTAATGAGGTGATGTATCAGAACAGAGGTCAGCAGAAAGGATTCCAGAAAGAAGTGTTTGGAATTGGGTACGTGTTGGGTGCGGTGATGTGGGTTAAGGAGACAGCCTCGGCCCCGCTGCCCGCGGAGACGGGTCTATGGGGGGAAGATGTCGGGCAAGGAGACGGTGCGCTGTGACAGGCCGGTTCGTAAAGGTCTCCCTGGGAGGGGTCACAGGAGTCCCTGCGCCAGGCTAGGGCCAGAGAGAGAGTGGAGAGGGCGTTGGCTGTGGCAGAAATGGGACGACGCAAGGTTGAGAAATGCAGGGGAGGCGAGCACCGTGACAGAGCAGGGGGACCGCAGACTGGAATGGAGCTGCGTGCGAGGCCGGGGGGCGGGGTCAGACGCCCCGGATGTGATCCCGGCTTGGCACTTCCGTGACCTCCCCTCGTGTGAGGGCGGGAGTGACGCTCGTGGAGCGGCTGAGCACAGAGGATGCCTCCATTCCTCGGGGTTCCCGCGGTCTCCCTGCGCTCCGGCGGACGCGGCCACCTGAGACAGGGTTACGATGCCGGCCTCGTCATTACTCAGGTGTGGGGAGGCCGAGACCGGGGACGGCTGCCATGGGGAGGCTGTTTAGTAGTTTGTTACTCACAGTTCCCAAGAGGAGGGGACATGCCGTGTCTCGCAGGGCCACAAGGGGAAGGCAACAGAGGGAGTGACACTGTGACACCGAGGGCGGGCGAGAGTCCTTGCTGAGGTTTTTGCAAGAAGCGGTGGGAGGCGCAGGGTGAGCGGGTTCAGGGCTGGCAAGTTTGAATCGTTTCAGCAGGCTCAGCTGCCTTTAGCTGTCTGACACCTGGGTCTGGGGTGATTAGGGCAGGGGGGCATCGGCCCAGCGTGTCAGAGCCTCAAGAGCCCAGTGGGGGAAGAGGAGGGGGTCGGGGCTCTTAGTGGGTTGGTTTGCACGTGAGAGGTTCCCTCCTGGGGACTCATCTGCCATCTCAGGAACGCGATCCCCCTAGGCGGGGCAGTCTCTCCGTCAGAGAGGCCCCAGCTGCCGGTGCAGCAAGGATATAGAAAATAAGAAAGTACAGTTAGGACAGAGAGTCAGAGGGACAGAGAGGAACAGGGACTCTGGGGGCCCTGAGAGGCGGCCGTCTTCCTTGTAGGGAAGTTGGGAAGCGAACTTCTGGCTCTGCCCCGAGGTCTCAGTCCATCCGGCAGGTGAACACGACACTCCTGCTAGTTGACTTCAAACTCCATAAATTACAGCTTTTTTTTTTTTTTTTCAGTCCCTGTTTGGAAAAAGTGAAATGAACAAATAAAGACAGGAGCAAAATTAAAAGATAATTGGAAGTCTATATTGGGCTTCTGCGAATGTGCGTGCGCGCTGCCAATCTGGTCTCTCCGTGCGGGCAGGATAAATTGAGAACTCTTCGCTTGGCTCAGGGGGTGGATAAAACAGTCAGAGACGAATGCGTGCCATGCAAATAAACAGGCCCATCTTCGTGTGATTAGCTTTGCCTTCACCACCGGTGCTCAGCCTCCGCCTGCTCAGCCCGGAGGGGCTGGGTTTTCTGGGTGAGGACGGACGCCAGGTGGGTGTGGCAGGTGAGGCCTTGAGTAGAGGCGAGAGGCTGGGAGGAGGTGGGTGTGGGCACCTCGGGAAGGGAGGGGCATGTAGAGAGAGGGGTGGAGATGTCAGGGAGGGACTGGGGGAGGTGTGTGGCTTTTTACGCATACGTGCACCCATGGACACACATCCATGTGCTCATGTATGCACACGCAAGTACAAACACATACACACACACACAGGTGGGAGGGAGGTCGTGGATCTTTTGAGTCCAGAAAATTCAGAGATAAGTGGATTCTGGTTTGACCGCCAGGGAGACAGGCCTGGAGAGAGAATCCAGTGTAGCTGGGACTAGAACACAGGGCGTCTGGCTGGGCCTGGGGGCTGGAGCG